TGCGAGGAACTTGCTACCATTAGGAGAATGGTAAATTATCAGCAACCGCCGTGCTCTGCTATTCTACGCCTTGCCACCCCATATACATGCTGTGTCTGTTCATTGTCACCATTTGTATGTGACGAACAGCGATGCAAAGTGTGTGCGCGCGATGTCTTTATACACCGGTCGCTTTGGTGTATTTTCCTTATCTTTTTGTTGATATTGTTCTCTATTTCTGTTAATTTATTATCGCCATCGTTGTAAAATGTATTATTTATGAAAATAAGGTTCATACTCATACTAGAGCTCAGGGTCCTGACTGCTGCGTCTCAGCGATTTCACAGCCTTTCTTATTCTGATTTTTTGAACCGGCATGAAACAGTAAGAATATTTTTGGCCATTCCAACCTAGACAATCTCCTTAGTAAATTATCTATAGTTCTTGGAATTCGTTCGATTCCCAAAGATTACTCATTGGGCTAACTTGCGAATTTTACTAGGCATGTTTTTGAAAAAAATGTAGCAGTAGAGCGTTTTATCTAATTCGCTACATCGCTTTTTCAGCTACGAGTGGTGAAAGCATTCCGTTCGTCATTGGAAGAATTCGATGAGCGACGCTCAATCGCTTCCACACACTCGGTGCAATCTATGCGTGGTTGGTCACGCTTGGCATCAAGCCCTGATCCGGCTGGAACTCGAGCAGCCCTCGCTGCGCTATCCCATAGACAGTCTCCACAGCCGTACCCTTACTATCACCATCAACAACCGCGAACTCCTTCACCACAACCACAAATTGTCGTAGAGAACGGAGGAGGAGGTGGTGGAACCAGTTCAATTGTGGCATCGCCGACGACAACAACTGGCAATGTGAAACTGGAGAAAGTGCCTTTGGTGCAAAAGTGGTCGCCCGATACAAACTCCTCATACTCACAACGTATCACGAAGAGTATGTCGTTGGATACACCGGTATCAGTGGCGCACGTCTGAAACACGAAACTCTCCAAATGGCAGCAATATGGATAAATCAGGAGAGAAGCCAGTTCAACTATGCGATGTGATTTCTTATTACACACTAGGACACTGATTCAATTGTATACTTATTTGTTGTATGACGACGTGCGATATTTGCACCACGGTGCTCTCGCGGACGTAATCCGCGCCTACACATTGCCTTGTTATTTTGAGTAGAATCACCCGGTCGAGTAGCACTGATTTGCTACGAGAATGTTTGATTAATTGTTGTTGCTCTGCATTTTTTTCCTTCACCTCTCAACAGCATCTATTTCTTTTCCTGCTATGAGCGGCAAAGCAGATGGTATCTTGTTGCCCACTGACTTTAATAGAGATGAGAAATTCTATTTATCGCAGGCAGGCTCGTTTTCTCAACGTAGGAAACTGGCCTTCTTTTCTATGCGACTTCTTACACTTATCAAACTACTGAGAAGTTAAAACTTTTGTGAAATGTCAGTTTCAAACTACTCTTGTCGCTCATTACGGTTTCGCCATACAATGTACAAGTAGAAACAACCTGCTAGGCTCAACGACATAGAGGTGATTAGAAATTGTTATCTTGTTATAAGAAGAAGAAGAGAATCTAATTCAGTTCATGTAATGTATCATATTTATCATTTAATTCTTTAATATTATGACTGCAATTATGGAGATACAAACTTGCTCATTATCGCTTGATAATTAATCAAGTTTTTCTATCTCCTTGTTAAGATAAGTGTGTCTGCGTGGTGTGAACTTGTGTTCCCCAATACGAAATGTGTGTCAGCAAAGTTCTTATGACTGTAGTTTTAACTTGAAATCTAATTGCCATGTTTCGTTTGAATTTTTGAAATTTCTATGAACTGCCAACATTTC